CTTTCTGAGGCGTAGCTGACTATGATGGTGGTCATTGTTTTAAGCCTGCTGTCGGCATCTCTTTTGGCTACAGCTTGTATGATGTTGGAGACATCCTCATCAAACTTCTGCCACTCGCTCCGGCTGCTGGCTGTGGCCACTTAATCCGCTGTTGTGGAACTACACTGCTTGGATTGGAACAGTCCAGTGCATAGAGGGACTGGGCTCTGTGGGGTGCCTCCTGGCCAGGCTCCTCCTGCGTCTCACCAGGTTCAGGACCTGTGCGTTGCACCTCACTCTCCCGCTCCAAACATTTCATTCTAGCCTAATGGACCTTTAGGCCACGCTGGTTCTTACACAGCTTGCCGCAGATACATGTCTTACTCGTAGTCCTTTCATTGCGTTGGTCGTTAACCTTGAGTCCGTCCGATTGGAGACCTCATCCTCCCCCCCTCTCGGGATCTCCTGGGGGTATCTTTCTTTAGGGCTTTCCGTAGCTTTTTGGGGTGCTTTCTCACGAAAACTGCAGACCGGGATGCTAGCCCACCCTGCCCCTGGAGCCATCTTACCGAGCTGTCATCTGTCTCTCCAGTAGTCACCAAACTTTCTTGGTTGTCACCTAGTCTCTTCCTAGGCATCACTGGCTCAGCCAGAGTTTAACTATAAAGACACATCTCCTGGATGCACTGGTACGCATCTTCAGTGATGTATCCTAACAGTATCTTTAGCAGTAGCTCGGGACCTGACGGTAAATGTTTACTTTGTCTCTCTGAGATTTACTGATAGAAACCTTTGCAGAGAGAACAACACAGTATGAACTGTCTTCTCACAGGTACTGATAAAGAAACAAATATAGAGTTTCTCTTAATTCTGCTTCAGAGTGTTTTCTGTAATCTTGAACTTCACATTTTAAGTTTGCAGATGGTGAGCTAAAGTTGCCAGAATGTAATTTTCCTACAAAAATACAGGCTAAGTGTGTACCTGTGTTAGTGTTTTAACTGAGGAAGCTCAACAAAGCCAGTCCTTCTTTGTATTAATTGACTTGACAAAAGCAACAAACCCAGGTGAGAGATAAAGGGTATCACAACAGTGGTTATCTGTTTTCTCTTATTTTGATCTAATACAGGAGACATTAAAGTCACTTTAGCAAAATGTATTTTAATAGTTGAATGTTATTGGCAATAACCTACAAATATGACTGATCAGTGTTCTAGTTTGAGCCCTGCTAGCTCAATCAACAAAATGCAGTGAATGAACAAAAGAGAACTCTAAATCAAATCAATACTTGGTGTGAACACACTTTGCCTTCAAAACAGCATCAAGTCTTCTAGGTGCACTTGCACACAGTTTTTGAAGGAACTCAGCTGGTAGGTTGTTCTTAACATTTTGGAGAACTAAGCACAGACCTTCTGTGGATGTAGGCTTCCTCACATCCTTCTCTCTCTTCATGTGATCCCAGACAAACTTGATGATGTGCTCTGTGGGGGCTGTACAATCACTTCCAATACTTCTTGTTCTTCTTTACACTGAAGATAGTTCTTAATGACTATTCTTACCTGCAGAAAAAAATGTTGGTGCAAGAAGAACAGAGAACAAAATATGAGCTCAAGATTATAATCTATATTGACTAATCAAAGTGACCTTAAAGTTCTGTATAGTTAGTGTTTATTAGTGATGTCCTTTGGTGTATTGCAGGCCTTAGGATTAAGTTTTACTTTTCCAACTTTGTTTTATTGATTTCAACAATGACATGACACGAGGGACAGTCTGGCCATATGCTTGGCTAAGTGTGTCAAATATATTCCTCCTAAATGCACTCAGTTTCGAACAAGACCAAAACATGTGGACATGGCTGACAGGCGATAGTCCGCATCTGCTACAGGCATCACTAATGGTTGGATAGATTTTAGATAATTTTGCGTTTGTATAGTGTACTTTATAGACCACCTTGCAATGAATCAAAGCATGACAAGCACAAATTGAGGACGAGTGAATCAATTTCAAAGCAGAATCCCACTGCTGTTCTGGCAGGGTTGTCTGTAGCTCTTCCTCCCAACTCAGCTTAATATGAGAAATTGATTTGGGGACAAAAGCATCTAGTATTTTATACAAGGCCAATGAGGGTTCGTCTGCAGGATGATATCCAGATTTGTTTCTGGAGGCCGATTGGAAAAGTGAGGGAACTGCGTTTTTACAAAATCTCTAGGCTGAAGATAATGAAAAAAGTTGGAATTAGGCAGGTAATATTTAGAGGATTAAGTTTTACTTCAGTGCAGTTCAGTGATTGATGGAGGGAATTTTATTGTAGTCACAGAGATCCTTAACAGGGAGGAGAAAAAGAGTAACACTGGATCACAACGATAAATTCTAAGAAAACAATATGTATTTAATTTTATCCAATCAAAACCATCTTTATTCATAAAGCACTTTAAAATACCCAGCACAGGACTAATAGAATAAAACAAAATGGTAAAAAACAAAAAACATCAAAATTGAAACAGCCCTATATTTAAAACAAGATAAAACAGCATAGAATCAAATAATAACAAACAAACAAACAAACAAACAGAAGAGGCCTGTCTTATCTGTAAACGCAGATTGTTCCACCGTTTTGGTGCTGCTACAGCACAAGCACAATCTCTTCTATGTTTATGCTCAGTTCTGATTACATTAAGGGACAGTCATCAGCTGGCATCTAAATACACATTTAGGGCTACCAAAAACCATCACCTCAGTCTTTTTGTCATTGAACAGATTTATCCAGAGGAGAGATGCATCAGTGCAAACGATTTCATTCTTTAAACCTGGACTCTGTGAACGGCCGACTGTTCGATGTGCTAAAGCAGTGGTTCCCAAACTTTTTTGACTGGGCCTCCCTTTGTTTTACAGAAAAATGTTCGCGCTCCCCCCCCCCTCGCGAGTTCACACACACACACACGCACTAACACATCCTCCAACCACACACACCCATATTTTGCTCAATTGTGGTTTATTTCACACCTCAAACATTTATTAAAAAAAATTAAGCAAATACAAGTAATCTGCAGGTAATAATAAAATAAACTACTAACTATTTTACGCTACGTCCACACCTACATGGGTATTTTTGAAAATGCAGCTGTTTCGTCCACACGTAAACGGTGTTTTGAATCACCGAAAACGGAGATGTTTTTAACTCATTTTTTACCTTTATGTGTGGACGAGGAATGCAACGTCCTGTTTGAACAGGAACAACAGTGAACAACTGTTCTGTTTGTCATGCAACGTTAAAGGTATGTGCCTCTTTTCATGTCACGCTGTGCGCCACGTTATTGCTTACATGAGAGGAATGGCAGATAGTCAGATTAACAGTATTTTGTCTCTATCTTCAGGTTTTACACGCTTACATATAAACACGCAGTTACTGTCCCTCTATTTAGAAAGGCAGAGGAATCACGGTGTAATTATTTTCCATGTAGTTGTTTTTTTCCTGTGTAATAATATTCAACATTGCTATCAATAAATTAAAAAAAAAAGCCTCTCTGTGCAAAATGGGTTTAAAAACATGAACAGCTGTGGGATACTGTTTTTCCTTGATTTGAACAGGGGGAACAAATCGTGGCAGGATCAGCCTGATATTATTTGACCTACCTTGGCACTTGTGCAGGTGAAACCAAAGGGAAGATATGCTTCACCATATTTTCTAGTCTTTGGCTTAGAATGAAGTTGGTTTGGAAACATATTCAGCTATGCTTTATCTCCTGCTTTGCGTTTGTGTAGGCACCACATGATAGCAGTGTCCAAGCGTTGTTGGGTTTTTTTTTCCCTTTTCATAGAAAACATTATTTCTCATCAGACCATGAGCAACATTTAGGCATGTAACACAGTAACACTTTTATTTTTTTACATATTCAGCAGAGAGAGTTAGCTGTGTGCACTACTAAAAAAAGGCTGTTCTAATTCTCAGCATCGCTCCTCTCTTTCCCTGAGTCCTTAGCAATTCTCCCTCTCACGATGACGTTTTGCTCAAGGCCAAGGAAAGAGTTTAGGGAAAGGAGTAGTGATGCGCGAATCATGAACGAATTGTTCAATACTCGAGAATCACTTTACTGACTCATGAATCATGATTCACAAGCCCAACTGACTCATCTCTGTTGCTGTTAGCAGCAATATATCTAGCTTATAATTAAAATTGTGGAGAAAAACACAACATCCAGTATCTTAACAAAATAATTTCTGCTCTGAACTGGAAGAAAAACCCCTGAGTAGAAGCTCACATCAAGACAATAGCTCCTCAGTTCACAGTAGCATCGCTCTGCTAACATGCTAACAGCACATTTGAGCTACTCATCCCCTCCCTTCCTGTGCTGAATCGTAGGGTAAGCAAATCACTCAGGACTCACTAACCCCCTCCCTCCTGTGCTGAATCGTAAGCGTAAGCGAATCACTCAGGACTCACTAAGCCCCTCCCTCCTGTGCTGAATCGTAAGCATAAGCGAATCACTCAGGACTCGCTCACCCCCTCCCTCCTGGCTCACAGCTTTTTCTTCTTCTTGGTTGGCAACCAATGTTAAGGCGCATTACCGCCCACTGGCTCACAGCTCAGTGGACATTTAGATGAGAAAATATATATTTGACACATTTAAGGAAAATACTAATAAAATAAAAATAAACAAAATAAATGTTTATTAAGAAATTTTGATAGGAAATTGCTTAATTTTAGAAATGTTTTGCTCTTTTTTGCTCTATAAAATAGTTTTTTTGTTTTAGAATCACTCATCTTAGCAGTAGGATTTACATGAAAAGAGAAACAAATTAAGTTTGAGTGAAAATGTACATTTTTGCACTCTCTGGTCAACTGACTCAGTGAATCAAATGACTCAAAAATTCGTTTCGCTTTGGTGAGTGACTCATTAAAACTCGATTCAGTAAAAAGAATCAAATTTACCATCACTAGAAAGGAGATTGGCGCTAATTTTGAAATAACACTCCACGTGGTTACCTTGTGACACTGAGTCATGTGACCGCACAGCCACAAATCACAGCAGAGCCGGGAAAAGGGGGCGGAGCAAAGTGTCTGTGCAGGAGTGGAGTCCAGCAGAGAGAGCTGCTTTTTCATGAAACGTGAGTAAAGTAGTGAACTTACAGGAACATATACCACTATCAACGTTTGGATCGATACCTGCATCGATCTGCACACCCTTGTCTCCTGGATTGCAGTTTAGATCAGCGTGAACCACATGGGTCTCTGCTCCCTGATCTGTTTCCTGTGTTTGGAAAGACTTCCACCTTCATCACGGAGTTTCTCTCGGCTTTTTGTGGGCTCATCTAAAGGTAAGCACCGAGCTAACTTTAATGTGGGTTCAGTTTATGTTGAGTTTAGCTCTGTTCAGAATAATAGATTGCTTGATATACACTGGAGTTAGACAGACTGTAGAGTTTGTAATTGCTTGGAACATTATGAAATGGCGGTTGCTAGGGGGTAAGAATACATATAGAAAATTAGTCTTGGAATATGAACAAAAGGATGGGCTGCAGGGCAGGAGAACAACCAACCCCCACCAAGAACAGTCAACCCCCACCCCCAGGACAGGAAGCCACAGGTACAAGCCTGGGGGAGGGCAACCCATGGTGAATAATCCGGTTGTTCAGTGATGACGTGACGAATCCTACTTCCGGGCCTAAAGTAGTCTGCGTTTAATATGGCTTTTGTGTTGTTAACCTGTTTAATGTTTTGTATTTTCTTCTATTTGATCTCAAAAAGCTCCTAAAACAGTCAGTGATCACTGTTGACCTCCCTCGGCTTTCATTACCGCTAATCATTTATTTAAGCTCAGTTTTTAAAACCTTAGGATGTAGCTACAGCCCATCCCATGCAGCAGTATATGAAGGACTAACCTCGTATTGTGGATGGATTATCTCAGTTGTTCTCCTGGCTGAAGTTTGGTCCCTTTACAACATCCTGCCATGCGATTACATTTGTTCATGACCACCGAGAACACTCACGTTAACTTTTATTGAGTGGAAAAAAAAGTTAGCTTGTTTATATTATGCTAACATAGCTGTGTCGCTAGCGGTCACGTAGCACATCATTATATACCAGCTAGCCAAACTTCAGTAACCCTACAAACGTCACTGCTGTTTAGTTTCCCGTCTTCATTTATGTTGGAAGTGATAACAGAGCTGTAAGTTTGAATTTGTTTCCAAAACCCCGCAGTCAGGACATGCTATATTGTATTTAGATAGAAGCTAGCGAGCTTACTCCCTGCTAACTTCTAACTCCGTTAAATGTCATAAATTCCGTTTTCATAGATGCCTGGATGTTAAACTCAATTGTTACACCTGGTAGAGCAGAACGCTGATCATTTTATTAAAGATGAAAGACTTTAGACAGTTTTTCAACTCTCACTAATGCCATAGTAATCGTTTGATATATGGACCTGCAGCGGAGTTTAGGTCCAGACACTGCTAGTGACGTCAGACTGAACAATTGGATAGAGGCTGTGTCCCAATTCAGGGTCTGCACCCTTGAAGTACGCATTTTAAGTACCATTACCTCACCGCCACGCGACGACGGCTGTCCCAATTCGAAGTGTACTTCAAATTGGGGCAATACTCCAAATGCGCCGTCGATTTCCCCAAATATCAAGCGTGGTCCGGTGCACGCTTCGTGGTCCCATATATCCCACAATTCATAGCGCGGCGGTGGGTGTGGATAATTTTGCCGCAAAATACGGCAGAAGGGAGCGGCCGAAGAGGTTGTTTTTTTTTTCCCCAAACTTTATTGATATTATAAAGCGAACAGTCACTCATTCCAGTTCAGTTTGTACAGTAGACATACAAGGCAAATAAGAGTAACAATATACAGTACAATGAAATAAGAAGGATAAATAAATAAAGGATAACAAAAGAAAAAAAAGGGGGGGAATGTGACAGACTTCATAACAACTTTGTACTTGAAAGTTGTGACAGCTCATTCGTTAAACATTTCTGAATGAATTTCTATCAATGATAAACCTTTTTTATTGGAAGTTAATTTAAGAGAGTTTAACCCTTTAGAGCCGGTCGGAGCGGGCGCGCTCTGTTTTGCGTAACTATTTTTAAATCCCGGTAGCTCTGCAACCACGTAAGCTAGCGCAATAATTTTTTTTGCATATGAAACCGGAGGAGTTGTACTTACATCTTATGCCATCAGCTTGTCCTAGGTCACAGTTTCCTTTCACATATAGCTTTGCAAAAACTGCATAAAAAGCACTTGCAGCAACAAAAACATAATATTCCAGAAACACGCTTTGCCGATCCGATCAGCTGTTCGTAACACTTCCTACGTCCATCAGCACGAACTATCGCATGACCTGCCTGAAACCGGAAGTGATGTCATTTTGCGGAAATGTAGTTTTTTACCATCAAGTTTTTAAAAGTTATCTTTGACTTTATGGCTTTCTGTGTCGTTTCTGGGATGCTTAGGACTCATATTGCACTGCTGGAAATAGTTTATTTTGATGCATATGCTGCTTTTTTGCAAATTTGCATTATAATATTTATTTTCGTTTTTCCTGCAGTGTATAGAAATTGGTGTATTTCAAAAATAAAACTATGAAGACACTTAAAAAAAATTTCCCGTGGTGGGAAACTATTTTGTGCAACTTTTTTGTATTTTCAATTTTGAGGGATAAGCCTCTTAAATTTCTCTAACTAGAAATATATCTTAAAAAATCAAATACGATTTTCAATTTCTTTGTAGTTTATTGCACTTTTTTGCAATTTATGTAATTGCTATGCTCTTAATGCAAGCATATTATTAAAATTTAGGCTGTAGTGGTTGTATTGATGTATAGCAACTTGAAATGCTCCCAAAAATGGCTCTACAACATTTCAATGGGAGCAACAGGACGGTCAGATGTGGCTGATTTTACTACAGAGTAGGACAGATTGTAGAGTAGCAAACATCGTCGGAAAAGACGTTTTCAACACTGCAGGTTACCTGGGTGTGATGTTTTTCTGCTAAAAAGAAACATGGTCTGAGTCCTACCTAACTATATAAAGAGTAACTGAAGGTTAAATGCAGTAAAAGTCTCCGCCTGATTGCTACCATCAAAAAGAATCGTACTCCAACAGCTCCTGGATGAGGTCTTCTGCTGCTCTCCTCGGTATCTGTTCATAGTTTATTGAGTGAGGCTGCGTCCACACTAGCTCGGATAGATTGGAAAACGGCGTTCTCTTCTGAAAACATTTCGTGTCCACACTAGCATTTTCAGTTGTTTTCACAGCGTTGCGCGTCCACATTGAAATGGCCAAAAATCCTTACTTGCCAGTAGGGCTGGGCGATATGGCCTAAAATTCATATCGCGATATCATTTGAAGCATGTGCATTAACGATATATATCACGATATATTCTTTTCTTCTGTATAACGTATTTTCCACACTATAAGGCACACTTAAAATCCTTTAATTTTCTCAAAAATTGAGAGTGTGCCTTATGTGTGAATTCTGGTTTTGCTTACTGACCTCGAACCGATTTGGGCTGCAGAAATCTGTTAAAAAATGTTTTAGTACAACTTTGGTAAGCCGCACTGCTTGATGGATTGTCAGAGCATTACGGCTGCCATAGTGAGGAGCTTCGCGGAGTAATCTGGGTCCAAAACTCCGTCCACTTCAGGTCCCAAAGTCAAAAGAACACTAAGAGTTAAAAACGGTCTAAATTCTTTCGTCTTTAATTAAATCATCAGCATTGCTGCTTTATCGGGTGTAACAATTAAGTTTTACATCCATGAAAACAGAATTTATTAAATTTAACAGAGTTAGAAGTTAACTGGAAGTTAGCTCGCTAGTTTCCACCTAAACATTTCATACCATGTTCTGACTGAGAGATTTTTGAAACTAATTAAAACGTACAGCTCTGCTACCACTTCCAACATAAATGAAGACAGAAAACTAAACAGCAGTGGCGTTTGCAGGGTTACTGAAGTTGGACTACCTGGTATATAATGTTGTGCTACGTGATGGCAACAGACACAGCTATGTTAGCAAATTTATATAGTTTCTATCGTATATCGTTTATATCACCCACTCCTACGTGCCAGTACTGCGCATGTGTGAAACGCAAGAAGATTTGACCTGCCTCATTTCTGTCTGCTGCTTATTTACTTTCTGGTGTTCTGACAAACAATCCTACTTTGGCAAAACTTCCTACCGTAAGTAGTTTATGCACATTTCTGCTGTCACAGAGTAATCCCAGCACAAATTTAAGTAGTTATGACACTTTGCCACTTAACTTTGCCCATCAGAGTATGATTGTAGCTCATATTCAAAAAGCCAGGACAGTTTGCCACTTAATTTTACCCGTTAAAGTATGCTTGTAGGTAACATTCACAAAGGTATCATGGTTTGGCACTTAATTTTACCCATCAGAGTATGTTTCTAGCTGTTATTGACAAAGGTAGGATGGTTCGCCACCGAATTTTAGCTGTTAAAGTATGCTTGTAGCTCAGATTAACAAAGGTAGGATGGTTTGGCGCATGTGCTGAAACAACGGGTAGGATGGTATGTCAGGTCTCCCAGATGGTATGTCTGGATTCCCAGAACACCGGCTCTTTGAAACGTGGCAGCAAAATGTTGAGGAAAAGCACAGTTTTTTAAATGGACTAACAGTGAGGTGGACTTGTTGCTGTGAGTAACACAAAAGTAAAAAGTTGCAAAAGTGATTCAGAGTTAAATAATTTCAAGAAATCTGGAGCATGTAAAGACTGATATGAATCTTTAATAGGACTGTCAAAATTGAGAGCAAACAAAACAACTGCTGTATAATGCCCTCTGCTATCTTAGTTTAATTGGTCACATGACTGCATCATAAGGTTAACATGCGTCATCGTTTTAGAACGTTTCCACTCTGCAACGCAAATCCACCGTTTTCAGATGTATTTGTTTTCAAGAGCGTTTTGAAACCACTGCGCTTTCCACCAGCGTAAACGCCGTCTCAGTGTGGACCAGATGCCAAAATGGAGAGAAAACAATACATTTTCAAACAAAAACGCATTAGTGTGGACATAGCCTCAGGCTACACTCACACTATTCAGCTGGTGTTTCCACTTCAATGTAGTCCACGTCTATTCCATTAAAATATGGTCTACAGTGTCAGTCCCATACTAAACACACTAATCTGGCTAAGTGTGTCACGGTTGGCGGGTTGAGCCGTGTGGTGTGGAGGAAAAGGAGGACCCAAAATGCAGACAGCCGACTGATGATATGAGTGAAAGTTTATTTACAGGTGACAGTGGCAGGAACAGACAACGAATCATGAGACATACTAACGGAAACCTAAACTGGGAAAACTAAAGAGCAACTAGAAATCCTCAGGACACGGGGTGAAAGGCAGAGAGACGCAGACTGACGGAGGATACCAAAAACGCAGAGATACACGGATGAAATGCAGATGAGCCGACAACGAACACAGACCGACACCCACTATATATACACACACACATACACACATACACAAGGTAATCGGGTAATCGCACACAGGAGGGAAGAACAGCTGATCTGATTACACATGATGACTGGAGGACACAAGCTGAACACAATGACAACAGACACAGACCGTCAGAATAGAACAGGAAATCCAGAACACGAGCCTTCAGCGCCATCAGATCTGATATTTTATCTAATCGCGATATGTTTGTAAACACATCTGAGGGCTCGATTGTACCTGAGGAGACACTGGACAGCTTTGTCCTGGTTAATGCTGAGAACCTTAAGAAAGTTTTCTCCACAGTGAGACCCACCACATGTCTTTTAGATCCAATCCCTTCTTCACTCTTTAAAACACTTTATGGATTTTTTGAGGCTGAGCTTTTATACATAATGAATTGCTCTCTTCAGTTGGGTGTCTTCCCTGCTGCCTTTAAAACGGCGGTGGTGAGACCCCTTCTGAAGAAGAGCAATTTGGATTGTAATGATTTTAATAACTACAGACCTGTATCCAACTTACCATTTTTAAGTAAAATCTTAGAAAAACTTGTTTTTACTCAGATTACTGTTTTTCTCAATGATAGACAGATCCTGGAGATATTCCAGTCTGGATTTAGGGTGAACCACAGCACAGAGACTGCTCTCCTAAAGGTTTTAAATGATCTTAGATGTAACTGGGACGCCCAAAAGCTCTCAGTCCTGGTGCTACTGGATCTAAGCGCAGCCTTTGATACAGTAGACCACGCTATTCTTTTAAACAGACTGAAACACATGGTGGGCCTCTCTGGTGCTGTACATAACTGGTTCACTTCCTATCTCTCTGACAGAACTTTTATGGTGAGTATGGATACATGCTCCTCTAAGATCCATAGAATGACATGTGGTGTGCCTCAAAGGTCAGTTTTAGGCCCTGTACTTTTTAATTTGTATATGCTCCCTCTCGGCGGTGTCATCAGGAGGCATGGAGTGAACTTTCACAGTTACGCTGATGACACGCAGCTGTACATCTCCGTGTCTCCTGATGACACCAGACCAATGGATGCCCTTTTTAACTGTATCTTAGATATACAATCTTGGATGGCAGAAAACTTTTTACAACTTAACCAGGACAAGACTGAAGTTTTAATCGTCGGTCCTGAGGCTCAGAGAGAGAAACTCTTGTCTAAATTAGAGGCATTTTCACTATGTCCTTCACTACAAGTAAAAAACCTGGGTGTTATTTTTGACTCTGAGCTTGGTTTTATCCCACATGTTAAAAACATGTAACCAAAATTGGATTTTATCATCTAAAAAATATAGCCAGAGTCCGCCCTATTCTCTCTCGGGCCAACACGGAGATGCTGATGCATGCTTTTATTACCAGTCGCATTGATTACTATAATGCCCTGCTCTCTGGTCTTCCTAAGAAGAATATTTCAACTTTACAACTTTTGCAAAACTCTGCAGCTCGTGTTCTGACGAAGACCAGAGGGCGGGCCCACATTACACTGGTTTTAGAATCGCTGCACTGGCTCCCCGTGTGTTTCAGGATCGATTTTAAAGTTCTTTTATTGGTTTTTAAATGTCTTAATGGTCTTGGGCCTTATCTCTCAGATCTGCTTTTACCATACGAACCCTCGCAGACCCTGAGGTCCTCTGGTACTGGCCTTTTGATTGTCCCTAAAGTCAGGACACATACTCACGGAGAGGCAGCTTTTCAGTGGTATGGTCCTCGTCTGTGGAACAGCCTGCCGAAGGAGCTCAGGGCCGCAGAGAACGTACATGTTTTTAAGAACAGACTCAAGACCCACCTTTTTAATTTAGCTTTTACTTAACATTTATTTATTTTATGCTTATTTATTCTATCCTGTTATTCTATTATTAATTTAGGCTTTACCTAATATTTATTGATTTTATTCTTATTCATTTTTTAATCTTCTTACTCTATTTATATTTATATTTATATTTATATTGTATCCTGTTCTTATTTATTTTATCATTTTACCTTGTATATATCCTATTGTGTCATATCTCCAGTGTTTCCTCAGAGGGCGCTCTCTGCACCGGGGCTGTGATCGACTGTGGCTGCTGGGTTTCTGGGGGTCCTCTCAGCCTGGCTGGGGGGCTCCTTGGCCTCCCTCCTGCTGTGTGCCCAGCCTGGAGGCTGCGGTCTGTGACCGGCTCCCGGTGCAGACGGCTCCCTGTTATAGTGTTTCCTCACTTGGCTCATGCGAGCCCAGCCCAATTTTTACTCTTTAAGTGTGCGTGTGTGTGTGTGTGTGTGTGTGTGTGTGGGGGGGGAGGGGATATGTGTGTATTCACATCATTTATGTTAATGAGAGTGTGGGGAGTGAGTTGGAGGGTGGGCTGCTTTTAACTATGTAAAGCACTTTGTGCTACATTTTTTTTTGTATGAAAAGTGCTTTATAAATAAAGATTGATTGATTGATTGATTGATTAAAGCAGGAAACACACAGACTGATTTACAACACAACACGTGGACATGAACAGAGCACCAAGGACAGACACCGGTAGGGCTGAATATACACCAAACTTTAGGTTCAACCCTAAACTAGTACAAAATCAGAATAAACACAAGGCACAAAAATGAACTTCAAGGAAACACAAAACGCTGGGTCAAAATGACCCAGGACCATGACAAAGTGTGTTTTGCTCTCCCACAAAACCATCTTCAGCTGTGTCTCCTTCTTCTCTCTGTACTAAAATTAGAACCTCTGTTGTAATTTAACACTCAGTGTCTTCCGTGTTGGGCGATTCTCTCCGCTCTTCCTGCTCTTCTTACTTCAATCTCAGGGGTAGACTACCCTGAGATATGTTTTTCCACAGACTAGGGGATTATTCTGCCCCTGCAGTTGAGATTTGAGATGGACAGATCCGATATTACGTATTGGTCTGATACTCACCTAAATTACTTGATCGGTTATTGAAAAGAAATACAAAATTTAATCCGATCCTTTAAATATCACAAAAGCACTTCACAAAACCTTGTGACATAGCGTAACCCAGCTCATAACCATAGCACATCGGCGCAGCATGCGTCAAGTGATAGAGCAGCTGTGGCGTAAGAGAGCTGTCGGTGGTCTGGTGGAGCATTTGGAGGCTCGCTGCAAAACTAGCATTTCATCTCAAAGAAAGCTGTCCCGGAGAAAGCAAGAAAGCATTCCCACACTAAGCTTAACAACCGATATATGGAGCGACTTCTCCCCCCTCCCTCTCCTGTTGCTACTTCAATCATGAAACTGATCAGTGATCAGCTGATCGGCAGACTTTCATCCTAAATGACTTTTATATCTCGTCGGGACTGGATTTTATATTCCTGATGGAAACTTGGCTTGGATGCGGTGAGTTTTCTTCTTTCTCGGAACTCCTTCCCCCGATTGTTCATTTTTCAACTCTCCCCAGACCAATGGTAGAGGTGGAGGGCGTGCTCCATTTGTAAAATAATTTTAGAATTCCACATTAACAAAGTGAGTTTCGAAATGTTTTTTAAAAACCTCATTACCATCCTAGGGGAGCTAGGATGGTAATGAGGTGCTTGAAATCTTGTAGGTGGCTGAGTTTATACTGCTACCATTGAGACTGATCGGAACTCCGTCTTTGTGGATCTATGGAAGTCCATATATACAGGGTGTAGCATCCCCTGGGTAAAGGCGGTGATGTGCAGGGGGGTCAGGGTTTTTTCCCTTTCAAGTTCTTGTAGGCAACTGATGACTTTCTTTTTGTAGTTGCTTCTGGGGTTTCACCTTGAAGCTTCATAGGTATTGTTGTCACTGAGGAGTTTAGTCATGTTTATTTGCTCTGCTTCTTTTTGTCAGGGATAAAATACAAATATATACTTTTTGTGTCCCAGCTGAGTAACAGGAGGAGAAGAGTGGTGGTGCAGCAGAGGAAAAATTTCAGCCATTTGGACTCAGCTCAGCCACTACAGAGGAAACAATGACTTCAACACAAAAGGTGAGAAAAACATCACAGTTACTCTGTTATTGAAACTGTGTGTACAGCTTGTTGGTTTTTAAAAACCTGTTAACAGCAGCTTTATCTTTTCCATCCTGGGCTCCTCCATATATACAGAATCTACATTCACAACCAAAAACCACAGAAGTTACAAGAAAATACAAAGATCTTATTTTCTCTACACACATTGAAACAACAATATCATCAGTTGAACTCTGATTTTTTTTCTGAAGTAAAAGAGTTTCTCTGCTGATCAATATTTCTTCAATAATGTCATTTTCATTACAACTCTCATTGTAGCACATCATTGTAATGTGATACTATCACCAGAAGGTGGTGGAAACACACCAACAATGTGTTTGTTCTCACATTAAATTCCACCAATGGAGGGAGTTTCAGTTTGTTCCACGACTGCATTTCACTCACTGCCTCTGTTTGTATCTCTGTCACTGCAGGACCAACATGGAGCGAGAAGTCAGCGCTCTCAGGAGGCCGACAAACCTCACAGAAGAAAGGGAGAGAAAACCTACAGCTGTGATGAGTGTGGGAAGGATTTTACCCGAGCTGGAAGCTTAAAAATACACCAAGTCATCCACAGTGGAGTTAAACCTTACAGCTGTGAGTTGTGTGGAAAGTCCTTTACCCTGGCTAAAAGCCTAAAAACACACCAAGTCATCCACAGTGGAGTTAAAGCGAACAGTTGTGACTTGTGTGGAAAGTCCTTTACCTGGGCTAAAAGCCTAAAAACACACCAAGTCATCCACAGTGGAGTTAAAATTTACACCTGTGACTAGTGTGGAAAGTCTTTTACCCAGGCTGGAGTCTTAAAAAGACACCAACTCATCCACAGTGGAGTTAAACCTTACAGCTGTGACTTGTGTGGAAAGTCTTTTACCCAGGCTGGAAACTTAAAAACTCACCAACTCATCCACAGTGGAGTTAAAGCGTACAGATGTAACTTGTGTGGAAAGTCTTTTACCCAGGCTGGAGACTTAAAAACACACAAACTCATCCACAGTGGAGTTAAACCTTACAGCTGTGAGTTGTGTGGAAAGTCTTTTACCCAGGCTGGAGACTTAAAAACACACAAACTCATCCACAGTGGAGTTAAAGCGTACAACTGTCACTTGTGTGGAAAGTCTTTTAAATATCCTCATCAGCTGAAAAAACACCAAACAAACATAACAAACATGAACGTACACACATGGAAGTGAACTTCAGCTGTGACCAGTGTGACAAGAGCTTCAGGAATCTCAGTTCATACTCCGAACACAAACGATCCCACGCTGTAAATAAACTGTTTCACTGTTACCAACGTGCAAAAACATTCACTTCATTATCTGCTCTGTGCAAACATCAGCCTGATCATGCAGGACTGAAATCACTGGATCACAATGAATCTGAAGAGAGAGAAAGATCCTCTTCTGGTTTCAGAGTTGGACTTAAAAACCTTGAGATCAGGCTCCACAGAGTTCAGATGGAATCTCCTGTAAAGAGTGTCAGCTGATGCCACACTTGGATCTGATGAGGTAGCTCTGATTTCTGGGGCTGCAGTGAATAATTCTGAATGTTACATTTAGGAAGCTGCATGTATAGATATGCATATCAAGTTTATTATTTTTCCTTTGAGGGATTTTAATTCTCTAAAATTTTATCCCTGTTACATTTTAATCTTTGTTTCCTTAGGACACAGTAGTGTTTAGCAGTTGTATTCATTTTATGTGTTACCTAAGTTAAATTTCATTCACATTCATATTTAATCTTTTGCTGTGGTAAAATCTTCTCTTAAATCATTTTCTCCCAAAACTTTTCACATCAGTTGCTCTTAAAACCTCCAAAATGAACTAAATCTGTCCACCAGCTTTGAAACAACACCTGCTGTGACTTTATGTCCAGAAAAAAGGAAACTCAAGCTAAACTGGTTTTGGGCTGTACTTCCATGTAATACCAGTTTGTACCTGAAGATGAAGCAGTGAGTCAGTGTAACCTTTATTTAATTAGGCAAAGAACACATTCATATTCACAGTGGCAGCAAAGAAATGTTGAAAGTTATAAACAGCAGCACACATCAGGACCATTTTAAAGATCACAGGTGACTACTTTTACTTAATTCAGATTCCTTCAAATTTTCGGCTCCTGCTTTCACTTTAGTGTATTTACTGTATCCTTGAAGTCCACATGTTGTTTTTTAATGACTTCATTTTGATCCACATGTTCTGCAGCTGTTTTCCTGTTGATTTGAAGTTTGTATGATGAAATCCTGATAATATTAAAGTGTTACTTATATTTGATGAAGTCTGTGTAAAGTTTGTCTTATTAAACAGTTTGGTGTGAAAATGAAGAAATGGTCTCAGAACAACTAGTTTGAGCCATGATTTCAGATTCAAACTAATTTAACTGTTTTCAGTGGTACATGTGGAGGTTTATCAGAGGAGACTTGGCTGTTCTCCACTCACACAGAACAGGGTTCCTGCAGCTCATTAAAAACTCTGAAATGATCTTCAAGGACCAAAATATTTGATTTTTCTCAAAAACGTGCTGTGGGCATGACGCTTTTAGAGCGTGTGTTTAAGATGCATTGTGAATAACATCTCACACATTCCAATAAAGCATATGTTCCTGCATTGCAACAGCGCTTTGCAGATGTGTTCTCCCCCCTGCCCGTGTGCACGACTCTCATGGAGCACCAATTTGAAACGCAGCTGATTGGCAGATTCCCTTGTCTGCAGAGTCCAAAGACAAAAACGGCCTCATCCACTCTGTGTGGTTCGTACCAATTCGTCACACTTCTGTTTGGCTTGTTTGAAGCCCCGGCCATTTTTCAGCACTTCCTGTAGCGATAGCTGCGTCCTCACACTACATATGCTGTTCCTTACCTGGATGGTGTTGTCATTCATAGTGATACCTCGGTGGATCATGTGCAGTGGTTGGTCACAGTCCCGGAGTCCATGAGGCAGGCAGGGCTGATGGCAAACCTAAAGAAGTGTGTGGTTGGAGGGAGGGAGGTACACAGTTTTTGGTACAATTTTGAGACCCCATTTGGAGGCTGATTACACCACAGCGACGTGATGAAGGCTGTCCCAATTCCAAATGTGGCCGGAAATGCGCCCTTCATTTCCCTTGGACTTGAAGGATGAGTCAGGTGTATCATTCGCGGCCCAACATATCCCAGAATTCATAGCGCAGCTTTGACTGTAACTAGTTTTAAAAAAACAGCAGATGGTAGAAGCGTGGTGGCTGAAGAGTAAACTTTTGAGTATTGAATTTTTCAACCTCATCAGTTAACGCTGTCCATGCAGATATTATAGATTTGTAAATGATTAGCTAACAATCTTGTCAACACAAAGTTCTTTATTGACAGGCAGTGGGGAGAGGGGACACTTGGGCAGTGTATTTACTGCATATAATGTGTTATCAACCTTTTCATCTTTTCTCATTACCCACAGCTACATCCACTTCTTTTGGGCTTAGGCTACTCACTAGGGCTGGGTATCATCGCTGATTTCTATAAGCGATTTGATTAAATTCAATTTTGACTCAGTAACTGTTTCAAAGTAACTGAGGATAAAACACAGAAAAACAGCAAGCTATGCGTTTTTCAATTTGGCATAATTAAAAAAAAATTTATTAAACAGCAAAAATGAAACTTTCTTTTGGTCGAAGAGGAATAAAAGCTGCAGCTCAGAATCAGTGAGATGTTGACTTTCTGCCCCGACGGCGTGTCCGTGTTCATGTCGTCAGCTGAGAAAGGCGACATGTCACTGATGCATCGGGTCCGCCCATATGGAAAAGATATATATAAATCTTATAAAGTTTTTATCTGTCTTGTATGAAACTTGTATGAAAAGCATACAAGAGTGAAAACACATATAAGATCCCTTGAAAAATTATAAAATGAAATTTGTATGTTTTGTATACTTACTAAAAAAAAAAAATGAAAGTAATGAGAAAGTGGCCACTTTCATGAGTAAATCATATATGTTTTTACTATTTTTTTTCCATATGCGCACGCTTTGTGTTCACGTCTTTCTGTGGAATCTGTTCACCTGTTCTCATTTATTGTTTTAGCTGTTTGGTGGTCATTGAAATATATTTCTGAGCTCCCTGCGTTTCTGGCAAAATACATTTATATTTAGAAATCGATTCAGGATTTAATGAATCAATATTGCATTATTCATCGCGTTATTAATCGATACCAAGTCAGCATTGGTATCGGATCGATTCTAGCCTGGTGAGATCAATTCTTTACTTTAATTTCTGCTCTTGTTTGCAATGCTGTGCATTCGGCAAAGACGAAACAGCCAGGTCGCCGGACTCGCTGCTCCCGTGTCAGCGAAGAGCAGGCAGACTTTGCTCCTCCTCCCCCCTCTTGTGTTTAGATGTTACGCTGTCATGTGACGTGACTTTGAGGGATTGTTAAGTTGTTTACATGTATATTCACCAGTTGTTTTTGTTGTTGAGAATTTTAATTGTAATTTTTTTTATATCATAGTTTCTCAACAGTACTTGTTTCTTTTAATTTGTTTACTGGTTTGCATGCACTTTTTATTTTTCTAGATTTTTCTAAAAAATAAATTTGAAAAGAATTGATAACTGTAAACCACCACGGCAGACCCAATGGCATTTTCATGCTTTGCAGCATCATTCATTCTTACAAGTCATCCAGCTTGTAAGAATAAAGGCTTTGCAGCCCTGATGATCCACCAGGACAAGCTCAGCAGTGTGTGAGGAAGAGGAGGAGGAAGAGCCAGCAGCAGCTGACAGATGGAGAGAATAGACAGACTGTTCCCTGTTTGTGAAGGACTGATTGAAATGTTTTAAATGACTAATTGTCTGCCCTGAATCAGTGTTAGTAGTAATATAAAGGCACTTTTTTTGCCCCCACACCCGTACCCCTCCCCTTTCCCCCTGCGCATCCATGTGAGTGCATGTACG